GCCACGGTGGTCTAGCGGTTAGAATGCTGGCCTTGTAATCCTGGGGTCTCGGGTTCGAATTTATAACTTTTGTTGGGCAAGGCCGTGGTCTAGGCACCCCGGAGTTTTCCTCCGTGGCATCCCACCAATTACTCCATTCACACACAGAAGAAGGCAATGGCAAACCACTTCTGGATCATCTGCCAAGAACGTATATGAACAGGTCCCAGTCCGAGAAAAGGATCGAAGGATCCTGTTCATATGGACCTGTCGTCAGACAGAACACTAAAATAAAAATAAAAAATAATTATGAACTGCTATTTCTGGATACTTATCAACTATTCGAGAAGCAGCTTGTATGATACTAAAAATTTATCTACATTTTACAGGGCATTAAATATAAGGAAGAATGTCGTGGCGTGTTTGTAAGAATTTCGTCCGATAGCATGTAATTGTGACTCCCTAGTTCGTGATAAAAAAACTGGCCACAGCAGCTTCTCAATTCGTGATTCATAATTACCTTGTCATTGGACAGTTCGCCTGTGTAGTTGAGGTAGGGTCTTTAAATGCATGAAACGTCAATCTTAACGAAATATCTTGCAAAATTATACGACTTTGCGTGCTTTAAGAGATAGGTAGGCAATGAATTACTTTATTCCTGTACGAGTCGGTGTAATGCACTACCAAAACGCCCGTAACTAAGAAACAAATGCTAATTCGATGATGCCGGCTGGCACACTGATTCACTATGAATGTAGGCCGCACCCCCTAGCGGCCGAAGCTCGTACTACATCCGGTTCGCCCTCTATTGACACAGTCTTGAAACTTTCCGATCGCACCTCGTACTAACCATACCATAAATAGTATTTCCCAGAGGAATTACTTTGTATATCACAGTCTTGGTTGTAATGGCGGTAATGTCTTTGGTTTATATATTCCTTCTACCTGCAAACTAGTGACGTAAGGGGAACGCGGTGGTCCCTGGTACTATACCAAACACGTTCTGGCCTTTGAATTCGATACTCTAATAACGACTCTGGCCATTTGAGTGTCTTCTACGTGTCTGACTTCATAAAAATATGTCCGTTCGCTATATTCAGCCCTCAAAAAGAATACGTTTTGTATGCAAAATAAATTTTGCTTTGTTAAAAACTGTAAATATATTATTAATTGAGTAAATTCAGTAAGTTTCTGTTGTGTGTCAGCCCAAATAAAGGCACCGGGCTAAACAATTCTTTGGAGTTTCTCTTTATCTACTGGATATGTGACGGATTAAAAGCGAGGGAGGCCACCAAACTAATTAAATAAAACATTACAACCTCGCGGATTAAATTAAATGGTTGGTAGGTTAATTGAGAAGCTTGTTGATTAAGTAACTGATTCATATTTAATGAAGTAACTGACTGATAGAGACTTGTTTAAGGACATTTAATGACTGACTAATACGTGACTAATTGATCTCGTATCTAACCACACAGAAACCTGGCCGTAATTTCTGCCCGCTGAATATTGTAGGTGTTACATTTTGCTGGGGAAGTTAAATTAGAGCTGGGTTCTATGGGAGTAACGCTGCAATCCCGCCTGACAAGGTCAGTGTTGGTACAGAATTACGCTTTGGCCTCAGAAATCCAGATATAGAGAGTTAGGTGCTTCTAATGCACAGCCATGATATCACCAAATAATCGAGCTACATCTGTAACCAACTTTTACAGACTAAATAACACGCAGTCTAGTGCAATTGCAGTTTTGAAACCGTCTTCAATATTTAGCCAATTGTTTCAAAAAGAAGTCATCAGAACTTAAAGTTTTAAATGCATTTTGAAAGTTTCAACATGCTCTGATAACTATCGTGTAGAAGTTTTCTCCAGACTCAGAAATAAGTATGTTGTCTGGTTTCCGTTTGCAAGTAGAGAATTTTTAAATATGGAAATTAAGTATATATTACTGAAATATGCACTGTGAAATACCGATAAGTATTTGTTTTATTTCTTGTTATCAGCATTTGTGTGTTTTTTTTCAATTACTACTTACATACAAATTAAAATTTACCACTCGGTCAGCGTGACTGTGCTGTGTCGAACAGTTTCGTCTTCTCTTGACTGTTCAGTGCAGTTCGAACCAGACAACCCTTTGGAACTGTAAAACACATCACCAAAATGGCAAGCTTCTTCATTTTTTATACAAGTAATTATTTCAACACAGAAAACATTTTTTTTTCTCGATAGATTAATACTTGTCATTTTCGCCTCAAAATTTGTTTGTTTTATTTAATGGAATTTGTATTTATTTACCCGCAGGTCAGGTGGATCTATGGACGCAGGAAGCCAAAGGCTGCAAATGTCCTTTCGATTCGTCTCGTCAGGACTGTGCGTGTTGCGTGCGAGACGGGGGCTGTCACTGTGGGCGAGGATCGCCAAACCGCTGCAGTCAATGCGGTCTGGAGCAACACTGTAGCAACAGTGAGTATAATACGAGGTGCTACCCAGAAGTTCGGGGAATTTGCCAATAAAAAAATAGTCCCCTTGGGCATGGATACAGCGACCCCCAGCGTTTTGTCCATGATTCCATGCATCCCTGGAAGTCCTCAATTGTGTCAATCGAAATTTCATTTTGGGGAACAGGAAAAGGTCGCAAGGGGCGAGGTCAGGCGAATAGGGTGGGTGGGGAATCACTGTCGTGTTTTTGGAAGCCAAAAACTGGCAAACAACGAGCGATGTGTGGGCGGGCGAGCGTTGTCGTGGTGGAGAACCCAGCTGTTGTTCTCCCACTTTTCCGGACGTTTGCGCCTAATGATCTCCTGTAGCCGCTTCAAAACTTCACAATAAAACTTCCCGTTGACATTTTGACCAGGGGGCACAAATTCCTCGTGGATGTCAAAATTAAAAAGATCAACATGGACTTCACATTGCTGCGAACTTGACGTTATAATTCCACAAATCTGCATCGACTGGCGCTAGTGTCGCAGCCACCTCGAAAGTCCGCAGGCCGCCATGTTGGTATTTTTATAGCACGAGGTGAAAAACGATAAGGCGGGTGGCCGGTATAATGTTCATGCCAAGTTTAATAAAAATCCCTCAGTCGGTTCTTGTGCTGTTTAGAGGTTAGAGAGGTTTGGCCACACGGATGTCATGTGTCTGCAAGCCGTTTTCAGTTATTAAGCAATAAAAGTTACATAAAAATCATACGCAACAAAAGAAATTACTTGCAGTTCAAAATGTTTGGTCCGAAATCCAGAGACTTGCTGTGATATTTGTAGGAATCCATTGAGTTAGAACCGAAATAGTTGACCGCATTTTGTGAATGTGTACGTAGTCTAACTTGTATTTTACATGTAACTGCTCGTATATTTATTATAATTTCCGTTTTAACTTGCATTTTATTTACTTATCGCAATAAAAGTCTTCATGTCACGCCTTTTGACCTCTACTTGACGGAAGAGATGTTTCGCACTCCGTGAACTTTCTACCGCTTTTTAGTAACAGCCTCGCGCGGTGAAATGAATATAATTCTTCATCACTCGTTAGGAAAGCGATCTATTATTCTTTGCGAATGAAATGATAATTTATGATACGTGACTTTTGTTTGACTATTGGTAGTAAATGGATGGCGCCGTTCTTTTTGTGTTTTTAAGCTCGTTTTGGGTCCGGTAAGGGGGCGTCCCCTGCATGATTTATAGCATTGCGTCGGATATCCGAACGCTGGGCTTTAATATCGACTCGCGCCTATTAACACTTCGTTTTTATAACACTGAGACTGGCACAGCGCCAAACTGAACGCACGCGGTGGCGCGTGTTGGCTACGTCGGAATTTCAGCTGTAGCTAAATGTTTAGTAGCCGTGATTTTGTTAAAAAGAAAGAAAGAAGGCGGACCGATTTTCCAGCCTTTCCACTAAGCCTGCAGGTCCAATCAATATCCAGGTTGCTTGTTATTTTTAAGCTGCATGCTTCGTGTTGTTGTTGTTTCTATTGAACGTCATTGTTCTAACATCGATAATGTTGTTCGATTCGATTATAAGCTCAGGCGTACATAATTTTTCTACGTAATAAAACAACATTCAAAAATGAATTTGCGTGTTGGAAGATAGCTTCAAATAAGTTACAACCTTTTCGTGAGGTAGACTTTTATGATGTATTTTTTAACCACAAATAATTATATTCGAACCTTATTGAATTGCGAAGATTTTGTCTTCCAAAACCTCGTGATGTGACGAGGAGGTCGCAAAATTAACTGTGAATTACATTTTATCCAAACCATTAACACTATTTTGTTAGTATTCTAACTGGAAAGAACTTCATTCTGATACAGCTCTGTGATAATTACGTTAAGTATTTTGAACGTAATAAATCAGTGCAATTTTTTTTTTAAATTTCCTTTCTGATTTGCAGTAATTATTTGAACTTTCCGTATAAAGCCGCCGTGAAAGTCGACAAAGTGGAGGGTGTTACAGATGACCTGAAATAGATCGAAATGGAAGGTGGGCAAGTACGTTTGGCCGGACGCCAACTGGCCAACCCTGGTGCGCAAAATGACAAACCCTGGGCCCGATTCCAAGTCGCAGTCAGAATGTTCATGCTTAGGCCTTAAGAATCAAAATCTGAACGGATATTTACATGGTTAATATGTACGAGGTGCGATCGGAAAGTTTCAAGACTGTGTCAATAGAAGGCGAACCGGATGTAGTACGAGCTTCTGCCGCTAGGGGGTGCGGCCTACATTCATAGTGAATCAGTGTGCCAGCCGGCATCATCGAATTAGCATTTGTTTCTTAGTTACGGGCGTTTTGGTAGTGCATTACACCGACCCTCCTGCGATTTCGGAATGGCGTGTGCATCAAATTTGGCCAAAGACTCGCCAAAACGGCTACGGAAACCTATGAAATGCCAAAGCAAGCATTTGGGGAGTCCGCAATGGGTCGTGCACAAACTTTTGTGGGGCATTCACGTTTTAAAAATGGCCCAACCTCTGTCGATGATGACGCAAAGAATGAGAGCATTTGAGAAGAATATTTGGACAGATAAACAGAATACTCCAGACAATTTGTATAATGAATAACATAGTACGAATTTGTGGGAAATGTATTGAATAGCTGAGCGACTATTAGCTCCTCAAGACGAACACTATTCTATGTAGTGAGTTAATATAAGCGGCAGTTTAGATATGACGATTTAATTTCATGTTTTCTGAGACGCTGTCTGGGTGTAAAACTGAATGAACGTTAGTGGCACTGCAGTCGTTCTCCTTATCGGCTGCTTAAATACGATCATACAACAAGTGAACGAAGGTATGGCCTGCAGTTGCGACATCTGCCATGTTGTTTAAGAAGCACGTACAGAACACTTTTAAAATGTTGAGGGTGTGTCCTGGCATTTGGTATGCTTACACATTTTACGTTCCTCCCTTCATCGTTAAGTTTCAGATGATGTAGAATCTCTTGATGGATTGCTGTGTGATTTACAGATCATGCTCCGTTGACAAATTCAACGTGAAATTATTTATTTCCCATCTTCATCGCTTTTCCCCCTTTCATTCTTTTCTACCATTATCTCCTTGTAGCAACATTTTTAGAGTACAATAGTCTTCCACCTAGCGTCATTATTGAGAACTTTATCAGTCATTCATTTACAGACACACGCATTTAGTCGGTCATGAGCCTCGTTCTGTTATCACGTATTATTAAGCAGCTTTGTGAAGAACTACTTTCTGTACACACTGTGTACAGTGTAGAATTTTAGTGACATCTGAATGAGATTATGTCGTGTGATTTATAAATGTGTGAATCACCTCTGTGTTAGATTCGTTGTGGCGTTAATCATCATGCTAACATTTCCATTTACCTATATAGACCGCACTTATGATATCAGTTTGGACGCGTAATTTTTCACGACAGGAATGAATGTTTTCTGTTTTTTTGGAGATGCTGTGCGTTTCTGGTGATAGGTAACGGCGAAATCGTACTGTTATGAGTGATTGGTAGTGGTGACTTTAGTCAGGTTGATAATGGATAAAATGGCCTCCCGGTATAAAGAGTGGCGGTGAATGACTTGAATAACAAGTCTCTGACAGTGGACAAGGGGTGGTTCACTAGGTTTGGTGTCGAACGAAGACTTCACTGTAAAAACTAAGATTATTTGAACACGGTTCAGTGTTATCAGTGCAGTAAAGCTTGAGTTCCGTGAAAAGCGGATAACGCGGATGGTAATAGCGGTTTGTTGATATCTTTGACGGCAGGGTTGTTAATGTATTTATTGTGACCTCTAAAGGCCCACTTTGTTTGAGAGACGGCACTGATACCCCTAGATGCCCCACCGTTGACTTAAAACACGTTGCGAATAGCATCATTTAACATGACTTTGTGATCTTCGCATTCGATTCTAATCCATGAAAATAATGTCGGTGTATTCTAGAAGGACGACCGTTTTACCATCGTAAACGTTCTTGTCAAAAGGGCCTCTCCCCTTTATTTTATCAATATTTTACACAGCCTCCCTTAATAAATAACAGCTACAATTTTGTAAGTGGGAATGGTTTCCTGATTTGAAGCTGTACCATCAAACTTTGAAATAAACATTAAGTTAAAGGCTGTAAACTATTTCACAACTTGATCTGAAATGACACAATTAAATTACTGATTCACGCAAATAAATGATCCAGAAAGATTTCGATATATAAATATGTATTTATTCATTTATTTATTATATTATAATATTATTTTTAGAGTGCAGTTCCAAAAATACATACAGATGCGTTATCTGTGTGCTTTATTTAGGGATAATATGATAATGTATACTTTTTAAAAGTAATTTTCTGGTACAATTTTTAGGTTATGCAGATGCATCAAATTTATATAATTTACTGGCACGCCATGTTCTTGCTTTGATTTAGTTGTTTATTTCACCGTATCTTTATCATCGGCGTGGTCTGCTGCTATGGTCAGATATCCGCTGTGTTTTTGCATTAGTTTTCTCGTTTACGTTACAGAATTAAAAAAGTAAAGTTTGTCCCACTATACGCCATGTAGGCGTTTGGGGTGAGTGTAGGTATAGCTCCTCTCTTCCTTGACCTCGGCACTAGATGGGGGTGAGTGGTCAGCATCACGCCCCGGCCGGCTTTACCCCCGGGAAAGGACCCCGGTACCCATTGTAGAGGAGGCTGAGTGGGCCCCAGAGCCGGTCTGGACGCAGAGGCTAGAGGAAAAATCCTCTGCCCCCGTCGGGGATCGAACCCCGGTCGTCCAGCCCGTAGCTAGTCACTATACTGACTGAGCTATCCCGGTTCACACGTTACAGAATTAATAACCAGTAAATAAATAACAGAGCCCTTAAAGTGACTCTATTAGAGTAAATAACATATGGTATCAGGACCGTGTGAGTACAAGAAGACATATTTCTTGTCTAAAGGAATTATTTAGCACTTATTTGTTTATATTTTAATATTATATTATATTCATATTCACGCCATACTGTATTCAAATCTCAGCTCAGAGACATGCTATACTTTCTGGAGCAGTCGTGGTATTTCTCAGCCCCTCCAGGCAAATACTGAGATGCTGGGGTACTTTAAAATAGGCCACTACTGCTTTCGTACATATCCTTTTCAATTCATCATTCACAAAACATTCAAGCATTCTATTCTGTAAACCTCGACAGCTTAAAAAAAGACATCATTAATGAAACCTAGAATCACTCAAATGACGTAATAAATCATCTGCTAGATTTAATGAGGGTACATATTTTTATTGTTACGCCACTGAATAGTAATAGTAGGTTAGAATGGTCCGGCATTTGATCAGAGTATTACAACTTCTGTATTCTTTGTCGTAGTGTGTAACATTACGGTTGACTCGCGATACCTGGTTGCACGCTCAGGGAAGACGTTTGGGCAAATCAAGTCACCATCCATGGAAGGCCCAGTGTTCTGCTGGTACCTACTTCAACCAGACACGGGGCAGCGTGTTGAGATTCAGGTGTACCGCCTCGTGAGCGTCGGTCGCTTCAACGGTAGCAGGTGAGTGTTTAAAGCCGTCGCTATCAGACGAAAAATCTTTCAAGGACAGACCTCATTTGGTAGGGGAGTAGGGAAAATCGAAAGATGAGAAGATATGGTAAGGGGAAGAGGAGTTCATGGTTTTCTTCTCTGATAACCCCTGGAAGGGACCAAATCAGATCTAGAGAGGCATAATAGATGTGTCGAACTCTGAAGTAAAACTTGTAGGCTGAGTAAAATCAGGAATCCTATGCTATCATGACATGTGGCCAGCTGGACTACACGTAGGATGTGACCCAAAGATTATAAAGGTTAAATAGATCTAAAACATTAAAAGTGATGTCATTTTTTTTAAGTCTATAAACTGAGGCATGACTGATTAAATTTTAGATTTCTTAAAATCCTAATTTCTTTACTAGAAATTGAACCTCAACAGTGTTACTTTTGACACTCAATAGCTCAAGTAATTTTCTCTACACTTTTATTCCCACCATCACTACGGCAGTCAGTATTATAACTGCTGTCTCCATCTGCTGTATTTCTCTCTTCATCAGTCATGCCACCAACAGTTTTAATCACATCACTACTTCGTGGTAATTTTGTATGTTGCTTGCACATTAATGGCGTCCAGTTACTTGCAGCTGTGAGGGGGGATTCCTGCAGCTTGTGGACGGTGCCGAGCCCAGACCCCGACCCGGACACTCACAAATTTGCGGCAGCAATGAGCGTTACACTCCGCCTGTGGTTCTCTTTGCTGACCGGGGATCTGCCACTTTGCTCTTCCAGTAAGTAAAAAATACTAATTCATAGAAATTACTCCTTCAGAAGTCCTTTGCTGCCTCCATCATCAGGGCAGTGAGTTAACAGAACTTGTGATGTCCCCCTGTAGTGAGCATCATATTGTTAATCAGCATTCTAACAACTTGGTTGTGGCCTATGTTTAATAAAGAAACATGCCAATCAGGGTTCTTCTTGTTGCTGCTGCTACTGTTGTTGTTGTTGTTACTGCTGCTGGAACCACTACTACAACTATAACTACCACTATGATCATCATCATTATCATGCTGTTGTGCTATAGTTTTAACAGCCTTGTAGTACTCCAGTTGTCACACCAGAACATTCACCACTTGTGTCAACTGATGTTTATTTCACATGAAATGATATTATGTTACTGGGGGATACTGGGAACGACCCGTTCTTCAAGTGCCTGAGCACTGCGGGTCCCAACTTTTCGTTGGCTCGATCTATGGACATTTGGTAGGACTCCTTGGACGAGGGATCGGCACGTCGCAAAGCCTCTACCTGTACACAGGACAACACAACACAGAAAAACATCCATGCCTTGAGTGGGATTCGAACCCATGGTCCCAGCAACCAAGCGGCACAAGGCCCATGCCTCAGACCCCGCAGCCACTGCGGACCCCGATATTATGTTACTGAAGTGAAACAGAAGTGTTCAGTAAACATGAAGAAGTAAATACTTATTGATTGTATTACTGCTGTTAGTTCTGTCAGCCCATAAATCTTAGTGAATATGTAAACTTGTTATTTTATCACCAGAAATTGAAGTTACAGGTAAAAAGAAAGAAAATATTTTTGCAGCCATCCAAACTCATGAAAATCAATCAGGTTTTATGGTGATTGCTTAATGTCACCTGAAAAACACATATTTATACATTGTTTAAGTAAATAAATATTTTAAGATTCATAAATAAAAAACAAGATAGTTTTCAAATTGTTAACACAAATTGAAAACCTCCCTTGCATTTCGTTTTATGTTTTTGAAACCAATAAAACAATAATAAAAGTATCATGACAGCTGAGATTTGAACCAAGGCCTTACATATCAGAAGTAAGTGTACTCATCACATCTCCATTACTCTAATGTGCCATAGTTATTACTTTTAGTGTCCCTTCTGTTTATCTGAGTCTCTGCATTAACTCTTTATTTAATATTATGTTGTAGCATTGGAGAACCCACTTTTCGCTCCCAGTTCCTTGCCTACTTCAGCTTCACTTCTTCAAGCAGCATTCAAGGTGCGGGATTCCAGGCACGAGGCGGCAGGCGTATTGAGCACACAGGTAACTTCTTTGGTTCTGTCACAACTTATATTTGATAAATGACACCAGTCAGACAAGTGCATTCTTGCCATTTATCATAAATGCATACATCATACATTTTTATTACATTCCATGGATCCATAAGTTAGTCAGATGCCACATAGGATGTATAATAATACAATATTTATTATATATATATTACAAGTACAATTTATACAGTTATAAAATTTCACATATTATAAACAAAGAGTTTACATAATTAGTGATTTGTTACAAATACATCCACCCGTTATACTACCCAAACAACTGTAGAATTCTTTGTTCCTGCTTTATACGCACACAAACATAGGTTCAATCAACTTTTCTTCCAGTAATACAGTCTACCATTTGGAGTCCAGTTTTGCGTGATGCAGTGTTCAAAATATAGAAATGCACAGTCCAACATTATGGGCCTCGCAAGAGTATATACACTTGTTCCTAAGCGTTTCATGTGCTCTATCTCCAGACGGTCACAAGAGTATAAACACTTGTTCCTTAGCGTTTCATGTGCTCTATCTCCAGACGGGACAACTGGGATGATGGGCTTAGTCTTCCTCCTTATATTCCCTTTCCTTTTACGGCCCTGTCTACCATTGCAAGGTCAAGGTCATGAACAAGTTACGTCCTGAATTACAAATATGTTATTTTAATTCATATAGCTTCTGTATAATAAAATAAATTGTTACAGCTAAACAAAAGTGTGTAATTTGTCTACTTAAATCTCAGTGAGAAATGACAATTATATTTTGTAAGCATTAGTTATGTTGTGTGTGTAAGTATGTGCATGTACAGGTTTACTACATTTTTATATTGCAAGATTTATTTTCATACGTACAAATAAGTAGATTGGAGTTCAAGCATAATTGTATTGCTTCTTATAAAATTTTGTCTTTCTTATTTTGAGAAGGTTTCTTGAACAGATATTTATACAATGGCATTATTATATTAATGTGTTGTGTATTTCTTAGTTTTTAGCTCAGAAATGTCTTTACATTTTATATTTTGTAATGGTGATAATTTTTATTTAACTTGTCAGAAGACCCTTTCCTGAAATTTACAGATTAAAAATTTATTAAACATTTTTTTTCCATGCCACATATTTTGTTTTGCAGAATGTGACTGGCTGTACCAGGACTTCTCTTGTCGGGATCCTGGATCCTGTGTGCTAGCGAGTCCTGGTTACCCAGGCCTATACCCCCCAAACAGACAATGCAAGTATCTTATTACCACTAGCTCAATCCACACCCAGGTTCACATCATCTTCACGGCTTTGCTCCTACCCCACAAGTAAGTACACTCGTGTCACAAAAACTTTTTTAACATTTAAAGCAGTTTTTATATTTGAATACTGGACTCATGTGACTGTCCCAGAAACCAAGTAATATACCAACTGAACTTACTTGTGGTTGTCTGAGTTGAAATATTGAAGACAAATTGCTATAACTCAGACATGCAAGTTTTAGTACCATGCCGATCACAAATTTTCTGCTTTAAGCAACATTTATGTCATATGATATTGATACATTATACGTAATTATAATATGCATATGATTTAATTAACACTCAGTTAATGAAACATGGCAGTTCACTATGTGTTTAGACAAAATGGGTCATCTTCAGGTTGTCTTTTTTATCTAATCCATTAGTTGTTGTTAACAAGCACTATTTGCTACCCTCATTGTTTTACCTTAATACAGAATTTTGGAATCACATGTTGGATAGTGGTCTTTGATACTTCCTGTTGCAAAATTGAAGTGAATCAGCTGATGTGAATGTATCAAAATTCACTCTTATGTGAGCCTGCACGTTCTGTATATCAATTAGAATTTTAATAACTTAATTACACTGTTGCTTGATACATATTTGAAAACAGTACGAAATCTTCTACAAAAATAAATAAAATAACTTTCCACAGTCTTCCATGTTCTCTTGTCTCCAGCTAGTGCACTCAAACTTCATATACTGGTACATGGTTTCTCAACTAGAAATAGTCTAAATTTCTTTAAAAATAAGAGTATTTGAAATGTTAATTATACATACAGAACTAATTTTATTCAGTCTTATTCTTTGTCTTCTTATTCTTCTTCTTAGTACAAAACTAAATTTATATTATAAAGAATGTATCACTTTCCTTTAACCATGAAAGTAATAGCACACGCAGCACATTCCATGTATAGCTTCTTGAATAGCATGCAAAGACAAAAAAAATCATAACTTTAGAATATATTATGTAAGTATCTGTGTAAGTAATTTAATTCAAATAGTGTTTGTGTGTTTCAGCCACTGTGGCACAGACTATATAGCTGTCTACCAGGGATCAACACCGTCCAGTCATCTTTTGACCACTATATGTGCTAACAGAAAAACGCAACTCCAGTATCCTGGACCAAACCTCCTCCTTGAGTTTAGGTAACAGTTAGTAGTTAACAAATAACTATGCAAAATGTGTAATTACAGAGTGAATTATATATTAATACATAATAAATGAATATGTTTCACAGAACAACAGATAGAATTGTAATATTGTTGTATTTAGTTGTTCACATAGTTTCTTCTGGGATGGAAAGAAAGTTTAAAAATATGAGTTGAAGTGTGTAGCGTAAACTTTATAGTACGATGCCATTTCTCAACGAGAAAAAAGCACTTCACAGATTCCAATGCTTGAAAAGAAAACACGGAAATAGTAAGGACAAAAATACTTTCAAACAATGTAACTTGTTATTGTTTAACCTGCAGTAATCACATACAGAACGAAGTGTAACATACAATTCTTGTACAGACAGATTTCTGACTTGCAGACATTTTGTACTTGAGAATGAAATATTGCTGCAGGATGTATTTCAAGAGATGTACAATTTAAATTAACACTCTACAAAAGTTATCAAAATAACCTCCTCCTTGTGCATATTTTATAAATACTATCAAAATATCCATTTTATATATTGATATAATTTGCACAGAAGGTTTATATTTGTGTTAAAAAAATGCATTTTAAAATATAAAACAAGTCAATATACTAGAAAAATTAAAGCTGTAATGTTGGCCATTAGCTGTGAGAAATTAATATGTTACTAGTCCTTATTTCCTCGTATAATTTCTGTAACTCTTAAATTTGTGAAACTGTGGAAGGCGATTGAGACAACTTTTAGTAAGCCTCAGTTAATTTTTGTAAGTTAATTTCACTTATGCATTCTTTGCATGAAGTGCATAGCAAGAACGTGTTGCAGGCTGGTCGTGTCTGTCCGTCTGTTCTGTTGATTCAACTTGAGAACCATTGGACAGATTTCGATGAAACTTGATGTTGTGGTTATGCTGTTCTGCACAACCACAAAACAAAAAGTCATGTAAACATTGACATTCCCAAAGTGGGAACTGCCAAACAAGGCAGATTTAATAACTCTAAATGCAGGTTGAAAAGAATGCATGAGGATATTATGGTATTCCAGTATGGAATACACTTTCTGAATAAGAGATCAGTGTGTGTAGCAAAATGTGGCGTTCATAGTCTCAGTAATTAAACCAAATTCAATCAGAGCCAGTTAACCTCATCAGTTGCTGTTGCATATTGGTAAAGAATAAGCATAAACTTAAGTGATAATACCAGTTCCTAGGAGAATTCCTGTAATGTCCATTCTTTATAAAGATCTGGTTGCTGTTAGCTTTATATTTCATGATATTATTACAAAATTCCTGTAATTTAAGTACCAGTTCCCAGTATATTTGTAATTAAAATATAATCTTAAGTCCTACATTTAGCATTGTATATTTAAATTGATTTCCCTAACATGATGTAAGTTTAAAGGTTAAAATAGAAAGCATCGATGGGACATCACAACTCTTATCTATTAAATAATAGATGTGAATAATTTATTTAGTCTGTGAAACACCTTCACAAGTAACATATTTTTCTCTGCCTACTTCTTAGTTACAAAACTTGAAGGTATCTACAACTGTATGGTACTGACTGTTACCATTTTAATCAAGGATTTCCTTGCTTATATTGTTATGCAGAATGTTCTTCTCTGCATAAAACAGATTTGAAAGACGTAGCAGTTATGTTTGCTAAATAACATTCATGAAATATAATGTGTTCTTTTTTGGCAGCTCGGGACCTCCTGTGCCACCTTATGATTATAACGGGTTCTTGGCAACTCTTGAATTTGTCGAGAAATCATCAAGCACAGAATCATCCAACATTTCTCCAGTAAAGACAACTGAACCTGGTATTATGAGTAAGTCAAGTGGATTCTATACAGCATGTCCCAAAAAGATGTATACATACAAGTTTTATATTTTGTATCATAATGTGTTTACATTTTTTTATGACACTGCTTATGTTATAATTCATATTTATAAATGCTTAAGAAGTAGACAACTGTATTTTAGTCAATACATTGACCTTCATTTATCTCTATCCATATATTTCTATACTTATGTATTGTTGTAATACATACACTTATTAAGAACACATAGATATAATAACAAAAGCTTTTAGACCAGTTTATTTCCCTATTGAGTAAGTAATGACAGTCTTCCGTTACCTTTGACTGATGAAATTAACTGATGTAATGAAAATATATTGTTTTCTTTAAATTCTTTTTGTGTTCCTTTTCTTTTATTCTTCCTACTTTTTATGTGCTGTTGTTAGCATCTTGACCTTGGTATCTGCCTTGGGCATTTTCCCATGTAATTATAATTAATTAATATAACACATTCTGTTGAAATCATCCCTTCAATTTTTCTTTGATTGCAGTGGATGGAACAAGTGCTCCCCGTCATGTGACATCAAAACCAGGATGTGACATTCTATATTCTGGCAACGAAACAAGATCTGGTCACTTCAACAGCCGTTCCTTATCTTGGAGACCATCTTGCAGTATAACTTTCTTAGGGAGACCTACAGATATAGTGCATGTGTCACTTTTCAACTATATGCTCAGGTCAATAAACAAAAAATGAAAAAATATCTTCTATTGTCATAATTATAACTGGATACTGGGATACTGGGAACGACACGTTCTTCAAGTGCCTGAGCACTGCGGGTCCCAACTTTTCGTTGGCTCGATCTATAGACATTTGATAGGACTCCTTGAACGAGGGATCGGCCCGTCGCAAGGCCTCTACTGTACACAGGACAGTACAACACAGAAAAACTGACAATTAAATTTATAAGGTGTAAATTCAAGTTTTCCATTGGTATAGCATCTGTTTGTTAGGTTTCATTTAATACAACTTTAACAAATAAAAACTGACAGTTCAGGTGTTTCTTCTCCCCATTTATTAGCAATTTGAAGACATTTAATATTAATATGAGTAAATATGTATGTGATTATATTGCTATAGCACAGTAAAAACAGTGAATGGAATAATGAAAGTACCTGTGAACAAATATTGACAGACGGTCAACTTCATATTCTAGCCACCATTACTGCTTGGCAGAGTCACAGATACCACTGGATAAGAATTCAGATGGTCCCCAAGATATTATAAAATTTTGGCAAAAGGAAAGATTGTAGTTATTCCCAGTTTTTAAACCTAAAACGCATTATTATACTCGCTGAACTAACATCATTCATTATATTATCATTGTTATCATTATCCTGTATACATCAATGTCCATACATTGCTGTGATGTGATTGATTAGTGCAAACAACTCAGCGAACCAAAGCAATAACAACAAACATGCTATATACATGCATTATGTATCTCTTGTGTTTTTCAGGACCATTTCAGATTAATACTGTAAGCTTCAGTTTATCACCTCACATTTGATCCTTGCTTCAGGGCGCCATCTTGTCAGTCTGTTGTGGAAGTATACGATGGCCCAGTCGAAGAAGGTGTGAAACCATCTAAGCGAATATGCAGCCCACTTACAAAACATGCTCGGGATCCTAGCGGGAGGTAAAAGAAAAGCCATACCAGGACATACTCAAATGTCAGCTTTAACTAAATGAATGACTGATCAATGCATGTTTAGAGTCTTTTGTGTGAGATATAATGTACTGTGTAGTAGATGTACTGTTGCTTTTTTTTTTTTTTTTTTTTTTAAATAATGTACGTTGTAGTAGATGTACTGTTGCTTTCTTTCTTTCTTTCTTTCTTTTTTTTTCTTTTTTCTTTCTTTCTTTCCCTTCCCTTCCAAAAGCACCCTAAAAATGACCCATGATGTATTGTGCATCAATGGCACTGATAAGTGGTACTTCAAAATCTGTGTCAGTTGATGCACGTGTGTCATTCATTTAGGACACTACATTATTACATATAAGTACAATTTTTGTTTCAGTTATTGGTAAATAATGCGTTCAGTCTATCTGAAGCATTCAATCTCTGTAGAAGTTGCTCTATGTCTTGGGTTAAAATAAAAATTATTTCCAATTTTTTCTAAATTTAGTCATAATAAAAAAACTGTTGTTTCAAACATGGTTTCAAACAAATTCCATATTTTTTGGATCACATTGTAGTAGTATTGGTTGGGAATGACTTGAAATTGTTATAAGGACTGTAATTTTTATCAGCACTGAAAATACAGTGACAGGCATGTGCATTATTATAATTTCTGAAGTGTCTTCATTGATTTTTCTAATATATTCTTGTCTAGGTTAGTAAGTAAAGCATATTAGATGTGTCCCTGAGATGATTAACCTGTCTAATGCTTGGATCCCATGGTACCTGCATATTTATTTTTATTTGAACTAAATTTTAAAATCCATATGACAAATTTGTTTGTATTTGGTATATATAACATTTGTGAAATAAGGCTTTCCTCTACAAACACACTGTGGAGCACAGAGATAGTCACGAGTCTACGAAAACCATTTGATTTATCATATTGTTTTCTCACAGATTTTAACAATTGCCCAGAAGCATTTAAATTTGAAGGAAATTCAAATAAATTAGTAAGTGTTAAATTTTTACATGAGGTATTAAATTTCTGCACACAGAAATATGTAATTTCCTCAGCCTTACGCAAAACTTATAACATAATATAGTTGTTTGTTGATATCACAGTTGTAAATATTGAGGCTTATATAGCATTATAATTGTCATTAATAATTATGCAAAAACCAGGGTGTATATCAAAGTTTCCTCGGATTTAATGTAAACAAATACTGTTCCCTGCTTCTGATATGCTTTGTGTTAAAACAATATAGGTTCTTGGAGCAACAGACATTTGTATCTTCTGACAGCATGCTGATGCTAGTGCTGAAACGTCTTGGTCCTCCAACATCACCTACAGAAATAGATACAGAGTTTCTAGATGGAGCATTTCTATTTCATGATGGTGAGTGTTTGTTTCTGTATGTGTGTTACCATTCCTAAAATTAAATCTAACATTTCTATACATGATTAACCTTTTTATGCTAGAATAGGGGATATAACCCCTATGTATGGGGCTGCTGGCGAGAGTTTAATTCTATAGGTAATGCTTCAGTGGTAAGTTGATATGTAGCACATGCTGAGAAATTCCCAGCTGGAAATTTCTTGATCAGTATGGTACCTGTCTGTGTTGGTAGTGTTTTTATCAGCTGTGGTTTGTTATGTCTTTGAATGGTGGAAGGTTACTCAGCTATAAAGAAGGATGTATCCAAGGTGATGTGAAAGTGAAGGATAGTTTTTTCACGTAGTAGCCTGAAATTTAAAAGGACGATAGATCAAAATACATATTTTACTTATTGTTATACAACATATTCCCAAATTGATGAAAGGCAATATAGATCAATATATTTTTTTAAAATATACAGATTAAAATAACAAGTTACATTGGTTAAAAACTAAGGGGTTTGATCCAACTTATACATCTTCCATAACGCAAGTCATATAGAACTATCTAATTTAGTGTTTTCTTTATACAGTGAGTGAAACACAATAGGAACATAGCATATTATTTAAATGCTTACCAACCTCATACAGCTATTTTACGAATAAGCTATTCTTCTGTTGTTTCACTTAACTCTCAGTTCTATAAACAGTCACGGAAAATATGTAAGTATAACTGAACCTCTTAGTTTTAACATTAACCTATTATTTGAATCTGTACATTTGAACCATATACAGGTACAGTACGCGACTGTAATCTGGAGACTTGCGGGGTGAGGAAGTGGGGTGAAGGAGGAAAAATAGCGTGTGCCTTTAACGCTTCGGACTTCCTGCATTCCTTGCAAGTGTCAAGATTACAGTCTTGGACTATAGATTCTATAACAATACTTCATGTCATATTAATGTGTTTGTTAGAAACCTGAAGATTATCACTAAGGCCAAAACATATTACTGAGTCAATAATTAGTTACTATTTTAATTGAGAAATAAATAATAGAACGCTTAGTCGTGTTTGATGGAAATACTGTATAATATATTTCTCTGAATATATTAAGTCAACAAAAATGTATGATATTTGAATTACACGTTTATTGCTTGTCCTAATATGATGCATGACATTGCAGAGCAAGTGGATGGAACACTGCAACCTGATACTCTGTGTGATGTGGACTACTATGGTCTCAGTAGTCCATTAGAAGGAAGGATCTCAAATCCAGGAACACAGCATCTATTTTGGAACATTGAAGGGGCTCTTAAATGCTCACAGAGGTTCATACCAGCAACAAATCAGAGTGTTACAATTACAGTAAGTAGTTGATCTGTGATTTTATTAATTTTTGTTGTTGTCAGCCAGGAAAGCTCATTTCTGGGTTAAGATTTGCAATTTGATTTTAAAAATTATTCATTTGATTTATTTCACATGTGATTTGTATGTTTGAACTTCTTAATTAATACAGTAATATTGAAGTTAATGTTTGTTTGGGCAACTCTTGATTTGAATACTAAATGAAGAAAATTTAACATTGATATTATTTACTTGTATCATGAATTTTTTTCTTTTAAATTATGAATAACCAAGATTGAAGAGCGTTAAACAGAAATTCCGCTGTAGACACGTATCGCATTCTGTTTAATGTTGTGTACATTTTCTTATTAATGTTAAATATGCAGCAGTAAGCAGTGGATTCAGTTTTGAGAAGTTAATGATTTCATAACTTTCGAACATTCTTCCAGGTATCAACCTTGGCCAGATTATCCCCTGACCCTCACTGCCACACTCAGTGTGGAGATGGAGGTTGTCAATGTGTAGCAAATTTACTTCCCCTTTCCCAGATGGACCATTTGCTTCTAGTAACTGATTCTGATCAGGCTGTATCCTGCCTGTGCGGTGATTTCCAGGTCAGTAAATGTTATTTTTACCTCTTGATATTTTTCTGTTGAGACAAAAAAGAATGTACTTCTTTTATGCAGTGAACTGTATCTTCTTTATTACGCCGTCTCCTTTAGAGGAGGTTGGCGACATATTACGAACAGGATCCTTCCATCCTTTTCTCGGATTGGGACCTGTTCATATATATTTTTTGGCAGGTGATACAGAAGTGATTTGCCATTGCCTTCTTCAGTGTGTATAGAGTATGGAGTAATTGTTGGGATTCCACGGAGAAACCGGGGAAGCCCCGGAGGAAAACTCCGTGTTGCCTAGACCACGGCCTTGCCCGACACAAATTATAAATTCGGGCACCGCCGGGACCCCAGGATTACAAGGCCAGCATTCTAACCGCTAGACCACCGTGGCGGGTAGTGAACTGTATAGATAGAATTAATTGCATAACTTCATGCTTAATTCAAAGTAATTATTATTTTAAATAACTTTCTTAAGTAAAGACCATACAGTTCAGTTGCTTTGGGGACGCATGCATGTATGTGTATGTGCACATGAGTAGGCAGGTTGGCATGCAGGGGCTGGTGTGTGTGTGTGTGGGGGGGGGGATTATCTTATTATTTTTAATGTCAATTTCAGAAAATACACACACAAAGAATACTAGTCGAGCAACTGCTAACTTTTTTTGAGAATGGTTTCTTCAATTATGGATTTCATTACATTACAGCAACAGTGGCTTCCAGTGAGTCTTCGCAGCTGGTCACCTTTAAAAGTGGTGTATTCCGTTGCACATTATAGCTGGAATATGAAAGGATTTGTGTTCAAAGCAGCATACACCTTTAACAATGACGCAGCTTGTGGACATACCATAATCACACACCCTTCAGGTAATTTTAGAACATGTTAAAAATGTCTCTGGATAGTTTTCTCTCCAGGAAAAATTTTAGAATACAGAACAAAATGGAAGAAACATTTATAAAATAAGGATGAATTTCATATTTCGTTAGAAGCTATTAAATATAACCCTGACAGAACATACATAGGATGATCTGGAAAAAGATAGAAGACAAAGTTAAAAATCTCTCATATTATTCAAAATTCGTTCATGTAATAAATATTACGCCTTTCTGAATTTTTACAAAACAAAGGATTAAAGTGGATGCTAGATGCATTCTTCAGGTAGTTCTATATGAAAGAATTATAACTTAACTTTCATCTTATGATAAAAGTATAGTGTCTTGTTTCAAAGAGGAGATTACAGAAACAAAGACCACAACCCTGAAAAACTGTCCTGGGTTTGATTCCCAGTGAAGATGGTTTCCATAGCTTAGAAACTAAGCACGGTAGAAGAATTTTGCCAGGACCAAAGTTGTTTGTTTCAGGGGTTTCCAGGGTTTGACTCCTGATAGGATGATTTCTGTAGCTCAGAAAATAAGCATGATAGAAGAATGATATCGTGAAAAATTTGTTAATTTCAGGAAGTAGATTACAGGAACTAAGGTCACAAACCTGAAAACTGTCCCGAGTTCAAGACGTGGTGAAGACGGGATTAGGGATAATTTTTTCCTATAATATTCAATAAGTATTGAATGATCAGGTGTGTGAAAAGGCAAAAAGTGTTTGTTCTTCCTTCAGTAACACTGTGGCTACTCTGCTAGTATTCCCTGTATGATAATTCATTTCAAAAATCACAGTTCCATTGGTTTCCCTGTGAGAGTAATTATAGACATTTCAGTGCATAAAAAACAGAAAATAATGTATGAGGTATGACAAACAATAGGATTGATGTTTTGGAGCAGAAACTGGCAGGATTGGTTACTTGGCTCATGTTGAATAACCTGATTCAGCAGTGTTGTATCAAGCATTTGAGATACAGTTTTGTAATTATGTTCTTTGTTTATTTGTCAAAAATATGGGTGATAAATTGTTAAAGCATCCAAAAATCCAGAAAGTTCAATAAATAAGCCAAATGTGAAAATATTACTGAAATGATTGTCTGTTGACTGGTGGAAGAAAACATAAATGAATATGAACAAAGTAACTGTGACATGAATTTTTACTAAGTATCTGAAACTGAAGTGAGTCTGTGTTAAAGAGGTATTCAGTAATCTCAGCAGAGAGCAAAGAATGAGAAGGAAATAAATTTGAGAGGGTGATAGTGAATTTTAAAGGATGTGAAAGGAAGCAGTCGTGGCTCACTGTAAGGTACTATCACAGCATTTGCTTGGAAGGATGTAGTGTTTACAGTTGTACATAATTTGAATGTTATGTTTAAATGCAATTTGCAGGAGAGATTCTGTCAAGAAACGTTTCATCTGCAAGCATGACATTAAACTACTATTTCCACCAGGAATGCACATGGCTTCTGGATTCCAAAGTAGAGAGACAACTCACAGTTGAGCTGCTAACACATCAAAATCGTGAGTCATAATGAAGAGTACTATATGATAATAGTTAGGCAGAGGGAATGGATGTCATGATAATTTCTTTCCCAGTTATCACTTCAAGACACTAATTTTTAAAAATACCAAGCAGCTGTAGTAGCATCCCCTCTCTCCATCACCAAAACCATTAGAACAAACCTCCCCACCCCACCACCAACACTGGCTGTAAAGAACTGAAGAAAGCAGACAGTATGGCACAGGAAGATAAAAAAGCCTTGTTCACACGTGTGCATATTTATATAAACAGTTATACTTCTTCTTCTTCTATGGCTCTCCGGTCCGTATTCGGTCCATGGCCTCCTCAATTCACCTCTTCCATTCGGTCCTATTGTTAGGTCCATTCTATCCGAGGCTTTGATCGAGGTTTCGAAACATCTTCCTTTTTACGGTGCAAGGTTGTTAACCTTGCGACCAACCCCCAACCTGGAGGACCAGGGTACCTGTCTTAGTTTGACCTCTCCCCCTCGACCAATCTGGCTAGGGAGGCCCTACCAGTACCTTTGCTACCGCCAGCATAGCTCTTGGGATCACTGAGGTACTTGAGCCCCACCACCACAACAAGGTGCAGGTACCATTAAGTGGGGACTTTATAACTAAAGCACCTTATAATGCTACATACTAACAATATGTAAAAGAAACATTTGTATGAATACCTCACTTATTTTCCTTTGTTGCCTCAGCTTAAAATTCTTCTAGAATTTACAGAAACTGAATAAATAGCTAATAAAATGTATTATTATGGCATACACTTATAAAAGCACAGAAAGAAGTATCACCAAATTGTGAATTATTAATAGCATGATCATAAACCAATATCTTGAATCAACATTCACCAAAAAAAATAGATCATTGCTTCTGTGCTCAGAATTGTTTTTACATATCTTAATGTAGTATTAGAGTTTGCTGATTTTGCAGGTCCATGTACAGCCTGGAATGTTAGTGTCCATGAATACGAAGGAAGTAGAATTGATGGTGTTGGCCAGCTACTCCACACGTTTTGTCCACGTGACCGCAGTAAAGAATATTCACTGCCATGGAAAATGAACACTGTATTGCTTAGGTAGGATATTATTATTATTGATTGTATGAAAAGTAAGAACTACCAAACATCGCTAAAGTTACTAAAATCTGACAAACTCTCTTGTATTTCATTTTAAAAAAACTTATTACTTGTTAACATTCTGTAGCTTGTTGAAAATCTCATCAGAGAAGTAAAATAAGTTAATATGCAATTTATATATAATATAAACAAAATGTTCGGGGTGTAATGTGTTTCCAGTGCTGGAATTCATTGATGGCTATTTGCACTTTTCTAGAATAATACTCTACCATGATCCTGTTGTTTAAATCAGTGGTATTCAACCTGGGGTGCACGACATCTTAGGGGGTACGTGAAATTTAAAATATATATATTATTTTATGATAAACACTGAATAATCAGCAATGTAATTTATTTAATTTATTTTAGATGTAGATTATATACTATGTATAACTTGAATTATACACCAACAACTTTGGGGGGTACAAAGTTGAAGTGAAATTATATCTGGGGGTATGCGAACAAAAAAGGTTGAATACCACTGGTTTAAATGACACTGAAATTTCTGAGAATTGCACATTGCTATCATTTACCACTAGCTATAGCCAAGTTTATTCTGACAGATGTTACTATAGAGAAATTGCATACCAAATTGAAATACTTACCCCTTCTCATATTGGCATAAAACAACTCAGGGCACAAGGATGCATTTCTAACCATCGAGACTTAATTAATGCACATAAGTGGACAGTTTCCTTCCCAAATTATACTACTAAAGAAACCCTCAGTTTTGGCACATTGTAAAATGATGACTTGAAATTTACATTTGGACTTTATGGACTTCGAAAAATTTCAAAAGTACTTTTTTTAGCTACTAGTGCTATGGTAAAATGTTTGTGTAATATCAGTGTAAATGAGATTGAAGAGCTGGTTTCATATTATGGTTTTGAAGAACAACTTTCATAGACACACGCTGATACTGAATCTGCATGTACCTAACTCCCCAGAAGATAATGTTGTGTATTCCAAAAGTCAAGTGTGATGTGATGGAAGAAATGAAGACAGGGCTATACATTATTTTACCAAACATGATGGTCAGATGGTTAGCACATTGGCTTTGTATTTGCTAGTTATCGTGTTCAAAAATTTCGCCCAGAGACCAGCTATGCTAACCGAAGTGTTTTTCTGGTTTTCATTAGTCATTCCAGGTACATGACTTGAAATCGTCTTTCAAAACCAAGACATGATGAGCCATTCTCACAAGCAATTTGTGCCTATTGGATTGATTTGAAACATTCAAATCATCGACCTGCCTTCAGTGATAACACTTAGTGACTGGAGGCAATTGTGTTTGGGAAACTGGTTGTAATTAGAAACCAACCGTAACACAATCAATCTGTTGCTGTAAGCAGCGAGTCTCCGAAGTCGAGCCTGGATAAGAAATTATAAACTCTAACCAGTACAGAACTACATCATGTTTGTGGCCAGTGTCTAGATTTTAAATACATTTCTGCTCATATATCATATTTTTCATGTTTAGTGATTGTTTCATTACTTTAATAGCTCAGATTGTTCTTGAAATTTACAACAGTTAAGGCACACACAAAAATTGTTTTATACAAGTATTGTGTTCATAAATTTTTGTAATCATTCTTGTTGTATTACCATAACATAATCCCTGAAGGTAAAGATGGTTATAGTTTGAAGGTGATAACTTACCTCCATTTAGCACCAATATGAAGAACATGTGACATTTTACAACCATGCAACATGTGCCTAGGCATGGAGGATATCTTAGTACTAGTTCTTATAACCTAAGATATTTCCACATTTATTAATTAATTTCAATGCTGTATTTTGTAATTTAATTTATATATAACAAATAGGTTACCTTTCACAGGTTACAAGCCATGACAAGGACTCTTCCAGAATATGCCATTCGATGGAACTCACAAATAGTACGAGCCAATACTCGTGTGTCTGGCCCTACATCATCACCAGGACACAGTGCAGGTACAAGCAATGTGTTTCATGTGATATGGACTTGTATAAGCATTGTGCTGCAATCAGTAGTAACAAAGTAGAACAGCAAGTTGAACTTGCATAATTACTAGAGTCCACTGCTCAATCAGGACTCTGTGAATAACTGCACTGCACATCCTTTCTTCTAGTGCAGCCCGTGCACTGAGACAAATAGTGCAATATAGTGAAGTATGCCAGCAAGTGTGTGTGTAATCACGTGTGAATGAAGGGAAAGTTTGTGTCATGCTCAAGTGTTCACTGTAAAACGAAAGACACAGAACAAATTTAAAATGTGACAATGTAAATATTTACACACCGATTTATTCCTGAATATGTGAATAGCAACTGATAGTTGGAGGAACTGTAACTAAGATGCTTGTCCAAACATGTATTTTAGTATCACTGAAAGTCTTATCCAGGATTTTTCACTGTTCTTCGTATCTTAAGAACTCAAGAAATATAGTAAGGCTTCCATCTTATTAAACAAATGTCATGTTGGACTATTCTATTGCAGTCATATCTTCCATGCATGGATTAGTGTTATACGTATGTAGCATGTGGTACAACATCGTGCAATTAACAATAATTTTGTAAATAAGACTTCTGTTGACACATTCATATTCCAGTAATTCTGTATTTCTTCTGTGTCACTGTTCCTGTATCCCAATGGCCCAGACAAGTTGATACTTATTCACTGTTAGAGGAAAAGATGCATCATGTGTCATAAGAGAAGACACTGAATCAACCCTACAATAGACAAGTTTTTTATTATAGGTGAAAACAGAATTCTACTACAACTGTGAGGACTGTGACCAAGGAAAAAATAAGAAAAACTGTTCAGTTTGATTTTATATCTTTTTATTAGTCTTTTTAGTTTGTCAAAAGCCTACAGTGTAGTGGGGTCTAGTTTGATTTGTAATTTCAGTTATATAAATTTAATATGCTTATTTATAATATTACTACAAATAATGGTTATTTTCTGCTGAAGTTGATACAGCATGAAATATTTACAACTTAGTAAAAATACAATTCATTCTTACAAATACAAATCAAAGTCCAGACTTCAGACATGAAATGAACTGTGGCCTTGAATGTCACAAACTTTAAGACAGTGATCTTTGTTATTTCTTCAGCTTGTCCATTACCTTTTTTTTTTAATGTATGGAATCAGTTAATCTCGCCTCAACTGTGCATATATCATTTGCCTTCACATATCCAATTACCTGTGTTAATTGATCTTTTCTAGATATATCTGGGGTTATGTCAAAAGGCTCAGAGTAATGTTTGGATTTCTGCACTTTAATAATAATTTAATTTCATGACTTTTTTTCCCATGTTGTTTATAATTTAATTCTGAATACAAGGAGAAAAATAAGTCACAGAGCTTTTTGGTAATTTTCAACATGTTCCCTTCAGGTTTTCTTGTAATGAGAGATCAGTTCAGTGGTGCTTCAGAAATTTCCAGTCTCTCTTGCGAGTGACTTAATTTGTATCACATAGAAACAAAGTTAGTTTTTGCACAAAATAAAACTGCATAAATTATTACTTTCAGTATGTCTCCATTTTTCCCTTTCCTTCGTAATGGTTATTTGAAATCCATCATCATTGCAACCTCTTTTCTTCAGTCTTTGTTCAGAATCTTTCCATGTCAGATAATTTGCTCGGTGATCTGGAGAATTTTCATAATTTGATATTCTTGGAGATAAATACCTCCAATTGTAAAACCCCATTTTTAAATCAGTTAGACATTTCTGCTTTACTGGCAGCTAAAAACCTTACATAAAGTAAAGTCATCCCATTACATGTCAATGTTGGAACTTCGGGACAGGAGGTATATCTTCTACTCATTCTCATCCTCTGCACTAGAAGGGGGTGAGTGGACAGCAGCATTCCCTGGCTGTGCTTTACCCCCACAAAAGGACCCTGGTACCCCTAGGACAGGAGGCTAGGTGGGCACCTGAGCCAGTGTGAATGCAGAGACTAGAAGAAAATCCTCTGCCACTGTCGGGGATCAAACCCCAATCGCCCAGCCCATAGCCAATCATTATACTGACTGAGCTACCCGGCTCACAAAAATGATGCATGGGAAACAAAATATAACTTTTGTTTCACTGCTTTCTGTTCACACATTAGACAGGGTTTTAGTAAATCAGTCAGGAGAAAAGTGATGTCTTTCATCTTCAATACTAGCGGAATAGTTGGCACACTTATTTTGAACAGGTTCATATTCAGTTAAGCAATATTTTAACCTCTCTTACAATTCGGACCATAAATATGGATCGAGGCTAGCTTCTGTCCTGTCACCAGAAATTCTATCAGTATGCTCAGAAAAAAAATTTATAGTTCATTGAACAATGCAGGTTTTCTCTCACATTTACTGTCTTCCACAGTAGCACACACTGTACTCATTCATTTTCACTTTTCTTAGTGAATATTCTTACATCCACTGTTAAGAGCTTAAATGTTCACCTCCACCTGCATTGTCAGTGTCATTTAAAAGTCCAAAGCCAAAAGCACTCTAATTATGTAAAGTAATCTGAACTTTGCAATAAGAAGTGATGTATAAACTCTCAGTATAGTTTATAGGAATCGTATTTCCGTGGCTGAGTGGTTGACTGATCATAGGAAAGTTAACACAAAATGAGATAATAAAAATGTATTTGGCCCCCTTTTGCATAGTGCTGAAGCTCTGTCCTCCCCTTATTTTTATAACATGACAGATACAAATGCATGAAAATTTTTAAAATATTTTTTTTTTAATTTGGTGTCTGGGTACTTTTCTTTTCAAGCAAACTACACAACATTTGCACTAGCACCAAGGTAAGGTTCATCAGGCTAATGATTAATGGGAATTCTGTCTTGGCCAGTATATATTTTTAAATCAAGGCAGTATATGCTGCTTCAGTTGATGGCTTGCTTTGGTAACACACATCTGTTCACCAATGTTTGGTCTTTCTTCCATTGGTACAGTGCCAAACTTTTGATTTTAGTGCCTCAAATACAGGGCATAATTTATATAGCTTGTCATGATATGGTATGGTATCTGGTACTTTACTGTCATTATCATTAAAATGAAGATGTTTCCTTCTTTTCTCAAAATGATTCAAGGACACTGTTTTTCTGTTACTGTCAGTACACATAAGTACTTCCTTACATCTACAGAGGCTTGAAATGGCTTATTTGGGTCCATCTGTGTGCCATAAATTGTTGCTTGTTCTGACATTTTCACTGATAAGTCACTGGTTCCTCTTATTGCCTCTGTTCAAATCAAAGAAACAGTGTTGGCAGCGGCTGGTAATGTATGACAAACAAATTAATTTTGTACCTGTTGGCAAAGTGTTTATTCAGACCAGTCACATGTTCATCAACAAATTCTTCTCAGATACAAATATCTTCAATCATATTTGGCTGGAAGTTAGGGTTTCTACCCCTATTAATAAACAGGCTTCACCCTCACTTTTACATGGAATATCACTTCAGAGCTTTATAGCCATATTATACATAATGACGAGAGTTTATACAGAGAAACACGTGGGAGCACTGTTGCAGACGTGAAATGGAACAAAGCACCAGCTAAAAAGAGTGGAGGATGCTGGACACAGGTTGTTAGTAGACACAATTATTTCTCATCACCTTTGCTCTTTATAAATATACATAACAAGAAGACAAAGAATTTACATACAGTGAATTTCATATTGAATTTACATAACTTCACAATGTTTTGGGTTTAATTGCCATATCTTAATTATTTATTGTAACCTGCTTATAATTAATAAAGGAGATACAGAAACAAGTAACATTTAATTCTATCCAGGTAACTGCACGTGGACATTAATCTTAGCACACTGCTGAGACAAGCATTGCAGTACTCACTGGATCTTTAAAGGGTGAGGCATTATATGAAAATATTGCAACTTGTGATATTTACTAATGCTTTCATGTTTTTGGAAAAGTGTACTGAGAAAATTCTTTTTAGATGATAATACTGTGTATGTGAGAGATGGATTTTTCCATTGGGCCAGCAATTTTACACATTCTTTATAAAGAAAAGTGGGGTCATTCCATGTCAAGTCAACTAAACTCATGACCTGACCCCTTTGGATTTCAGTGTAAAAATTTAAACTAATTTTTATTGCACTATGACAGCGGTAGAAATAAGAAACTGGTCCACACCTTGGACTATACACATATCACATTATGACCAAAACAACTTTCATGAAATTTTGTACTGCCACAAAAAAAACTGTGTTCGCCTAGGTATAGGTTAAAATAATAGAAAAAGTAGAAACAGCTACACAGCGAAACTCATAAAACAGCCATCCTCTTCTTCCACCTCCACTATCAAAAGTCCGAATCACGATATAAAGAAGTTTAAGCCAGCACTAAAAGTTATCTCCTATATCATGTATGGAATGTGCACGTCGGTGTTATAACCATATATATATACTGTTACCCATGGTTTTATGGATACGGGAAATTAATTTCTCTTTTCTAACCTGATAACTCATGGAGGAAGGAATATTTTGCAATGTTGCCTGCCTTGTAGCAAGGGTTTGAAATTTTACTCGATGTTGGAAGTACAAGTGGTTAAGTTGTATTAGAGGAGATAATTTACCGGAGCTTTCATATTAAACACTAGTTCAAAATGGCTAAGTTGAACGAAGGAGTGAAAGGGAGACTGTCCTTAGTTATTAATGCATCCAAATCTGTATTCCACTGGGGTTTCGTTCCCGCAATTCTCTATTTAGGTTTGTGAATACCTAATCAACTACATCGTATGATGTATGTGATCAGTCTTGGTTGTATAATAATCTTCATACTCTTAATTTCAGGATATAAGAAGGGAT